AATTGGATGTGTTCTCTTCCACAGTAGTCGTGAAATAAAAATGTACCTAGGCTTGCAACTTGTAAGAACACTATGGCAAATAAAATATCCAGGTAGAGTATCTGTCTCAGCTCAGGCTACTATAACATAATACCATAGACTAGGTGGCTTAAACAGCAAACATTTATCTCTCACATTTCCAGAGGCTGGGAAGTCCGGCCTCTAGAAAAATCAAGATTAGGCTTCTGGTGAGGACACTCTTCCTGGTTCATAGCCAACCACCTTCTTGTTGTATCCTCACATGGCAGAAAGCAAAGAAAGAGATCACTTCTCTTATGTCCCTTATGAGGACCCTAATCCCATTCATGAGGGCTCCACCCTCAAGACCTAATTACCTCCCAAAGGACCCATCTCCCAATATCATCACATTGGGTATAGGTTTTGACATATGAATTTTGGGGGGACATAAACATTCAGTCCATAGCAATGTCCTAAAGCATTCTACATGTGACAATTTATGTAATTTCTCAGGGAGGGGGGAAAAAAAACTATCCATTAACTCTTAGCCCTTTTCCTTATATGAACATTTTAATATAATGATAATAGCTCCCAGGTGGGAATTAGGACACCTAGGTTCTTGTCCTGGTCCTATCGTTAGCTAGCTGTGGAGTCTAGACCTAGGGCAAGTCACTTAAACTCCCTGAATCTTAACTTTTTCATCCATAAAATGAAGATAAAACCAGGCACAAGATCAAGGTGGAATGATGTGTCTGAAAATATCGTGTAAAATAAAGAATGCTATACAAATTTACAGAATTATACCTGTGTATAAATTGCATCATCCAAAAGCCTGCCTGGGTAGATTTTCCTTGGAAGGGACAGATGGGCTGGAAGGGAATGGAGAGCCTGTGTAGTTGCTTCTATTTTTTTAAAGAATGTCAGCTTTGGAGACCATCTGTTCTCAGCCAGATGAGGTGAAATTCTGAGCTAGGTGATGAGAGGCCCAGGAAATAGAATTCCAAAAGAAAGAATAGGAAGAAGGTTAATGGTAAGTATAAATATCTAAGACATGGGAGAGAGGAAAACATGCATAGTTAGCTGCAGTAAATTTTACTTTAACATGACCTCGAATTCAACATTTAAGAGAAACCCAAACTGAAATACAAGCACCTAAACATCCCATATCTTTCGGTATGACTGTTGCTACTAGCAGATTTCTATTTTGGTCTCCTTTGTTACTGAGAACTCTTTGAGACTTTCTCAGTCTTAAGTTTATTCAGACATAAGTGTAGTGCCTTGTTTTTTCTTCCCTGTGGTCATAATTATCTTGGGTTTTTTTTGTGTTTTTTCTTCTGGCCAACTTTTATTTCAAAAATGATCTCAGCATTGTTTCTCTTATCTAGCATGGTTTCAGGCTGCTTCCCCTAAAAGATTAGATGGCGTTTGAAAAATATTTTCATAATAAAATATTTTAATATTAAAATATATAATTTAAAATTCAAATATTAACCAAATTTTAAAATTCAATTGCACTTAATATATCCAATGTCCTGTGCTGGTTGAAAATAATAATTAATACGAACCTCTCTTTAGAAATCTTAGTGAATTATAAAATGAGATTTCAATGTATTCAAACTACCACTATCCTATTGTGAACAAAGCTGTAATATTTTCATTAGAATATACATATTCTTTTTTTTTTTTTTTTTTTTGTCTTTTGTCTTTTTCTGTGTCCGGCAACGGATCGCAACCCTCAGTGTTGCCCCCGTACCGGACCGGGGACCAGCAACGGAATTGCAACCCTCAGTGTTGCTCCCGCGCCTCGCTCAGCCAGTGAGCGGGAACCGGTCTGTATGTGGGATCCGAACCCTCGGGCGGGAGCGCCGCCGCTCTTCCCAAGCGGCGCACTATCCAGTGCGCCACTGGGCCGGCCCAGAATATACATATTCTTAATAGAATTTATAAAATCCCTAGGGCTTGAGGGCTGTATTCATATATTAAATTTTTTTTTTTTCGTTAAATTTTTATTTTGTCAATATAAAATGTATATGATTATTATGGCCCATCTCCGACACCTCCCTCCCTCCTCCCTCTCTCCCCTCCCCCCCAAGAATGTCCTTTCATATATTAAATTTTGAGAAATGATAAATCCATTTTAACCTTTAAAAATTATGATTATAAAAGTAACATTTAATGCAGAAAAATTCAAGTGGAAAGATAGAAAAAATTCCATTTTTTATCTTAGGAGTTAATATCTTTTATTGTCTTCTTTCTTTACATCTTATTTTACATATGTATATAAAGTGTTGTAATTCATTTCTTTCCTGTTAACATTGTTCTAAGCATTTTCTCATGTCATTAACAACCCTAAATTCCTTTTTAATGGCTATGTAAGTCCACCATAATGGTATGCCACCATTTTCATAATATTTCCCTAATGTTTTATGCTTAGATTGCTTCTGTATTTAGAAATTGTTACTAAGCTGATAGATGAATACTGTCTCTCTAAAAGTTTGTATTTCTTTCATTACTAATAACATTTGCAAGTTTTTTAGATGTTAGTCACTTTTCTCTTGTTCACCCTTATCAAAATGTTCTTAATAGTTCTTATTAATTCATATAACCTTTTATAGTAAGGGTATTAACTATTTGGTAATACTTGTAAATACTCACAGTTTTGGTTTAGTTTTTTCTCTGATTATAAAAAGTAGTAATTATTAAATTTCAAAAATACACATAAACACATAGAAAAAAAAATAAAACATATTCAGTTTCCAATATCAATACATATAATTGGATTCACACTACTCATTCTTGATGGTACTCTGCTTAGTTCATGTAACAAGATAAAATAGAAACACTTCATTAAATATTTTACATTTAAAATTACCATATAGTATTCCATTATACCGATATGCTATAATTAATTAATGCCTTAAAGATGGACATTTAGTGTTCAATTTTTCACTACTCTAAACTTTGTGATGTTCCTAAAATAATAAGTGGAATTGCTGGACCCATGTGTACTCACACCTTTAACTTGATGCAAATGACCCTTCCAAAAGGATGTATAATTGAGTTACCATTAGTGGTGTTTAAAATACCTGTTTCCATGTAGCTCACTGAAAATGGACATTTCTAGTTTTCTTAATCAATTTTGAGGTATAGTTTACATATAATAAATGTACCCATTTTAAGTGTACAATTCAATGAGTTTTGAGCAAAATATACATAAACCCATGTATCCACCACCACAACCAAATATACAACAACACTTCTATCACCCCTAAAAATTCCCTGTTGTTCATTTGCATCAAACCCCTCTTCCCAGGTAACCCCCTTTCTCCTAGGTAACCACAGACACTTCTTGTCAGTATAGATTATATTCTATCACCATATAGTTTTATATAAGTGGAATCACAGCATATGTATGCTTTGGGATCTAGATTCTTTTGCTCAGCATGTCTTCTAGATCCATCCCTGTTGTTGCCTGAATCTTCCCTTATTCTTTAGTAAAATGCCATTTTATAAATTTTCCAAAACTCGGCTGGCCAGTGGCTCACTTGGGAGAGCATGGTGTTGATCACACCAGGGTCAAGGGTTCGGATCCCCATACTGGCCAGCTGCCAAAAAATAAATAAATTTACCAAAACTTGCCTATTGTGAGGTGAATGATTAAACATTTGGGTTGATTCCCATTTGGGGTGACTGTGAATAGAGCGGCTGTATGCCTGTATAGGCCCTTAAGCCATGACTCATAAGAAGAGAGACTTCATTTTCATACTGGGCAGGTATGTGGACTCTAGGTATATCATCCACTGTTTCAAGTCAAGCAAGTTTCCCAAAGGAAAGCCCAGATCTTGTTTTGGGATCAAATTAACAGGATGAGGCAATAGTGCAGATTATAATTTTGAAAGCATCTTGGAAAGCTATCTGGGAAGCACCTGATCGCCCTCCTCCTGTATCAGCTGAAAAGCATAAGGCTCCTGTTGCTCTCTGCCGCCGCCTCCTCCACGTCTTCTGGCTCCTGATGAGTCTAAGGATTGTGCCAAGTCAGTCCCTGTCCCCTTCCGTGACAGGGAGGTTCAGAGGAGAAAATAACGACAAGCCTCATGCTGTTTAATGCCAGGTCCCCTAAATAGCTCCAGACGGCGGTAGCAGGGTCAGGCTACCCCTCAGGCCACTTGACCCTCTGCCCAGTGGCCTCCAGCGTATTCTATGCCCTCTTCTCAGCTACAAGAGAAATGTGTCCTTAACGGCTCAGGAGAATTCTGTGCAGTGACTTGCAGGGCCTACTTTCTGGAAGTAGAATGCAAACTTAAGAACAAGAACCATGCCTTAAATAAATGTTTATATGAGCAAACTACGTAGTAGATACTCAAATATGATTTTGGATAATGTATAATCTAAGCCTGAGACATGGGCACGGACTCCTGACTTGATAAACACTCTGTATTTGATAAAGTAGGGCCTTTAACAAATACTTTCAATAAAATATTTTTGAGTATCACCTTGAGTCAAGTATTTTTCCCTGGAATTGAAACAATTGTATCTTATACAGATATGTTGTACATATGTTATTTTGTACTGCTGTTTTTGAAGTAGAAACCAAAACACAGCCAGTAAACATTATTTCTTCTCTTCCCAGTCTCCCTTCCATGGCACAGGCCATTTTGGAGCAAGCTCTCAAATTCTGAGATTCTAAGAGTGGTTTTCAGAAAATTAACCTTGGAAAACAAGATAAACTGAGGGAGTTATTTTTTTGAAAGGCAGTATAATAGCAAACACCCTTCATACAATGGGCATAAGAGTTTATAGAAAAGAATGGTTTGCAGCAGCTTTTCAGGAAAACATCTGTAATAAAAGAAGATAGCCCAATAAAGGAAAGGCCCAAGCATTGCAGACTGAGAGAGTCTTGACTGATCGTACCTAATTCCACAGGAGTTCTGTCACTAACACTAGCTCTTGTCTGTCGCTCGTGGCAGGATGAAGTATTTATGGGCATGTTTCTCTTCCCTCAGTTCACAGACATCGGGACCTTTGAGACGGTGTGGCAGGTCAAGTTCTACAATTACCACAAGCGAGATCACTGCCAGTGGGGAAGCCCCTTTTCTGTCATTGAGTACGAATGCAAGCCCAATGAGACACGCAGTCTCATGTGGGTGAACAAAGAGTCCTTCCTCTGAAGATGGCCCTTTCCGATGTTGCTGGACAATCCCCCCAGAAATCTACTTTTAGATAAACCAGCACAAGCCTTACCCAAGGCACGCCACACTGTCGCTCTTTCCCATCTGGTACCAATGACTTACTAGCCCCGAATATTTCCAAAGTGTAATTCCCCTCTGATACGATATCCCTGACCTAAAAGAGTGTGATGTACCATGACCGAAAATATTCCTCTCTGTACTTTGTGCTGGTGTTCCTGCATCCAGTTGTTCTCAGTCGTGCTGTTGACCGCTTGTGACTGGAGCTCAGTGGAATTAGCAGGCTTGTCCTATACCTGAGTGTTCCACCGACGGACTGTGGTGTTTTGTTTCCAAGTTGAGTGATTCCCCCTTTTTGTGTTTAATGTTAAATTTTTTAAAAATAGCAGTGTGTATGGGTTCTCCCATGTGTAATATGGTAATGTGTAACTTGCAATATTTGCCAGCTTTCAAAGCAAGCTTTGTGAAAATGTAATAAAACGGCAGTGAATGGAACTCAAATGTTATGCTTCCTATAAACACCTTTTTCAGGGAAGGATAATGATAAACTTAAAGGTCAAATAGGAAGTGTTTATAATGTATTAAAACTCTTTCAGATAAGGTATTGTGCTATGGCTTAGTGGAAATAGGGAAAAAGCATTGCTGTGGACCACTTTTAAACAAAGTGAAAGGAGTTGTAGGGTTACCCCTTTGGCAAGCTACCCTAGTGTTCAGACATGCATATTGATGGCATCCCTACATTCCCCTTCACTTGAACTTTGTAAACTGTGTATGAAACTGTAATCAACTTTTGATATTTCTTAATAAAGGCATTGAAAATCATACCGTGACTTGCATTCTTAATTTGGCAACAGCTATCTAGCAGGTGGCCCTCTGCTCAGGCCAGCCCCACTCAGATGGGATGAGGGAGATGTACCTGGAGTAGAATTAGCACCTCTAATCATGGATCAACTCCAACCCTTTAGCGGGATTGCTCCAGCCAGTTCTAAGAGGGATAGCACAGGCCTCGGCACTTGGTGGGCAATCAGGAATGCTAGTCCCCATCCTCACTCCATTCCTCCATTCCACCGCCAATGCCCCGTGACTCAGCTATGTACCTCAGCGAAAGGAGGGCATGGTACTATAATAGTGCATGTGCAGCAGGGTTGAGGCTGACTTGCCTGTTCCCAGGACACTGAATGGTACCTCCATACAGTTTAAGGATGAATTCCATAACAAGGAAAGAAACTTCCTTTTGAAAAGTAACATACTACTTTCCAACAATATTGTAATAATCACTTGGGCAGCAGAAATCCTATTGTGTTGGAAAAAGTTGGGGATTTGTTTGTTGTTTTTTCTACCTGTAAACCCTTCATGTAAGAATATGCAAGATTAATGGGAGTATTTTAAGGAGTCAATTTATTGTAGAACTGAATTTGGAAGGCTGGCACTCAAAATGCTTTCCGCCTCTAAGTACTTACATGCAATGAGGCTGTACTGCCACCAGGGAACAGCAATGCCTTGGCTGTGGGCTAATCATACATGGTATTAAAAGAGAGCAGTACTGTATGTTTCTCAATTAGCTTGTTTTTCAAAAATAATTGTGTCTATGACAACTGCTAAATATAAGCACGAACCCATTCCTAATTACTATATTTTAAAAACCAACACTCAATTATCTGAACAGACATTGAGATATTTAAAACAGTGGATTTACTACAAAGGCTTAAGTTTTCTTCCAGAATATCCAATGGAAGTACAGAGCGATTATAAGGTGGAAAAATGTGAGAACTACACATTTTAGTCTGTTTGAGCATTTGGTTAGTAAATATTTTCATTTGTGAAGCAAGAGGTTTGAGCCAGTGACTCATCTATCAGAGCTTCAGTATTTGTTTTGAGGGTGGAAGCAATATCATCATGGGTTTTGCAATATTCCATTTTTTTTTTCAACTAGTGCCTTCATTTCAAGTTTGAAATGAGTCAAGGCAGGACTGGAGGAAATTTGGCCTGGTGTAACTGCACACACCCTCCCACAGAGCAGCAGGAAGATGAGCCCTGGAGGAGAAGCTGAGTGTGTGAGTCCCACTAACACCCTGGTTGAACCCACATGGTCACTTCACCTTCCTATGTTTTAGTTAGCTTGTCTGTAAAACAAGGAGTTAGACTAGTAGACTTCTAAAATCTTTTAAGATTTATGATTTGTCCTCTCATTTATACCCCTTTTTAAAAAAAAGTTTGTGTGTGCATGTGTACGTGCATGTGCATGTCTGTGTGTATGTGTGTGTGCATTCCCTTGGGGCCAGAGGTAAGGCTGAATCAAGGCAGATGGAGAGGAGGTGGAGATGAAGTAACAGGAAATCTTAACAGCTAATCTGCCACGTTAAGTGATCTCTCCTGGCATATACTGTTCTACTTATGATTGGACTCAAGCCCAGCCTCTCTAGCTACTTCTTGCATAGCTCTCCTCCTACTCCAAAATTTGAATGCTCAGCTATATCAAGCCGCTGAGTTGTAACTTTGCCCCTCAGCCATCTGGAAGGGCTATTTTTATACAGGTTGTAGCCACGTCTCTCTACTTCCAAGCATCAGATGGCTACCCAGAAGCTTGAGAAACTAGGCCATCCTTCTAATTATGATGATGACTAAAACATTTTTGAACAGGTGGAAGAGTAGAAATGCCTTGAATTTATATTTTGTGACACCTTGATTATTGAGAAGTCACTTATCCAGCCATCTAAACTATCTGGATCACAATTAAGAACAGAAAACATGCCAAAAAAAAAAAAAGATCCCTGTCATAGATGTCAAAAAGTCCATTCACTAACGGCTTGAGTCTTCTTTCAAGGCTTCATGACTCCTATTTTAGACACAGTTCTAACGTGGGGTGATCTGATTTCTGGTTCTTAGGAAATTGAAAACAAAATAATTAGAGGAAAAAAACAATTTGTAGAGGTAGATATATTGAAGATAATTTTTTTTAACAGAGAGGGAGAACAAAGAAATAAATAAAAATTGGACAAAGTAAGTCAAAAAGTATAATAGATAGGGACATCTCTATACTACAGGGACATAATCCTGTACTAAACCACATGGTTTCTATAGAAATCAAATAAAAATTGACATACATAATGATGGTCCTGATTTATTTAGGAAGATAGTCCATTATCTTCAGTAATGTATCATCCTGGTTCACTTTTTAAGAGTTCAGATTCTGGATCCAAACTACCTCAATTCAAATCCTGGCTTAGCCACTTATTGACTGTGTGATTTTAGTCTTAATGATTAAATAAGTGAATGTAGGCAAAACCTTTAGAACAGTGCTTGGCACATAACATCATTATTTGGTGCGTTTTATTTAAAAACACAGAAAAAAAGGAACACATTTTCAAGCAAAATCATTAAAAATGCCAAGAAAAAAACTAACGGTACTTAAAGGAATAAAACACATTTTCATAGGATATTCGATGCATGAATTTGAAATGATGGTCAAAGATATACTCTCTTTATATATATAAAGAAAATGCATATAGAGATAAGATTTTTAATTATTTAAAAATAGTTTGAAGTAGTATATTTTAAGATAAGCTAGGAAAAAATTTTCCCCATGGACAAGCTTCATAAAGTCTCTTTTATAAAGACCCAATTTTGAATAATATGCAAACATCAGGACAGAGTTAGAGAACTAAAGATTTGGTGAAGGTCAAGAATGATGTCAAATTTTCTATTTGTTATTTCTTTTAATCCCCCTAACAGCCCTGTGAGGTAGGCAGCACATGTCATGTCTCTATTTCACAGAGGAAAAATAAGTCTCGGAGCCTGAAAAATAAGGCTCAAGTTTAAACAGCTAATTTTATAAGAAACAAACCTTTGGTTTCCTCATGTATGAATTGGTAATAATAATATCCACTTCACAGAGTGTGTTAGGATAAGCTGATATGTCTCACGTAAAGTTCCTTGTTTTTCTCCTCCCCACCACCTTCCTTATGACAAATGCATTTCACTTAAAATCACATCATTCCATGCCCACACTCCTGCAGTGTTTGTTTTTTTTTTTCAACCTGGTGGTTTTGCCTTAATTTGTTTGCAGCCTAGTAGATTGCTTGCTTTTCCCAAAGAAAATTACTGTGGATATATAAAAAATATATATGACTTAAAAATTGTTGCCAATACTCAGAAATATTCAGATTCTAGAAACTTATTTACACAGACTGTTACCTCTATTTGGAATGCCCAGCTCCATTTTCTACTGAGCAAATCCCTTCAAGTGCCAGTTTAAATGTCACCTCCACTATGCAGTCTTTCCTGACTCCTCTAAAATGTTGAGTCAAGAGTAATTTTGAAATATTGCTTATTCAATATTTTATTTTATTACTCCATTTCTGAAAAGCTTCACCAGACTCTATATAACTTCTGCTTTTCTTAAGTTCTTGGACGGCTTCCACATCTAACTGGTTCAGTGAAAATGAGCTGACTCAATAAAAAGGTGATGAGATTCTAGAAAGAGCTGGCTGGCTGGCTGGCTGAAAACCAGCCAGCGAGAAGTTTGGAATATATTATCCTTTAGAGGGTTAGTTCTCCTACTCCCTTTTAAGGAGACTAAAAGAAGGAAAGTGGATAAGAAAGAAAAAGGTTTTGAATTCTCTTACTGACATAGCTTCCAGCGAATTTGCCTGTTCAGGTTAGTCTTATTCATGATAATGGCACTAAGGTCTGCGGTTCTTTGAAGTTTATGAGGTTGTTTATTTACATCAGGGTAATCACTTGTGCTGCTCACCAAGTTTCCAGTCCTCCCCCATCAAGGCACATGATAGGATTGCATCTCCATGGCTTAGGGAGGGCCATGCGCAAGGAGCTCTGGCCAAGGAGTTGTGAGCAGAAGTGACATATATCACTTCCAGGCTAAAACATCCAAATATCTGTGTAATACCCAGCAGAGTTCTCTTTCCCTTTGCTATGGCAAGTAGCCACATTCAAGATGATCCATCATCCTGGGTCCTGGAATAAGAAGATATGGAGCTGAACTGTAGCCAACCTTTGTAGGACGTGTAGCATAAGTGAAAAATAAACTTCTCTCCCAATATTTTATGATGAAAAATGTAGAAAAATCAAAAGACCTGCACAACAAACATCCACATATTCATCACCTGAATTTCACAATTAACATTTTGCTAGATGCACTTTATCATTTATCTGTACCTCTCTATGTGGCATCAGTCCATTTTTTTTTTTAAATGAATGAGAAACCATCACTAAGATGTCAGGGCTGTTTATTACTGTAGCAACAAAACTTGCCTTTCGTGGTCTACAACATCTGGGGAATCCAGACCAGTTACTTTCCTTTTGTGGTGAAGACCCTAAAGTAGAACTACTTCAAAAACAAAAAAGTAATTTTTAGTTCTAAGAAACCATTTCCTGCCAGGGAAAGTTAAAAGCCATGGGGTAGATTAGGAGAAGGATTAAATCATCTTTTTTTCTCTCATGGTCTTAAAAGATAAGATAAACTCTGACTGCACTAGTTTAGGTGAGGCTCTCTTTAGAGGTAGAGAAATGGATCAAATGGGGAAAGGAAAGGCAAACTTAGAATTCATTGAGTGCCTGTTGTGTAGCAGACATTATATATACCACCTCCTTAAATCCTCCAAGCCACCCTATAAAGTATACATGATTTCCATTGTTAAAATGAGGACATTAAGCTCAGTGTTGCATAGCTAGTGGAAGAGGCAGAATGAAATCCAGCATCTGTGTGACTCCAACATGCTTACCCTCCTCCAGAAGTCTACAAACCCGTGGTCTCTGACAGCCCCAGAAGCTGAGATTTCCTCCCACTGAAGTGACCATCCCTAGA